TTAATGTCAAGAAATGTTTGTTTTTGTAATTGAGCAGACTGTCTATTAGCAATGGGGTAGGCCTAATTAAACCTAATGTTTTACAAAGTAGTTCTAAACTGTGTGCAGAATCATGAACCAAAAGAAATAGACAGCTGAGACCTGATTTTGATTCACTGGTCATAATCCAAATTTTAGTCCCATTACTCTTTTTCTCAACAAAATCCATTCCTATTTCGTTCAATTCTCGTTTCCTTTCAAACAGATGGAGCCAGAACGCAGCTTTGAGTCCAGAAACACTTCGTGTTTGAAGTCAAATTATCCCATACCCCTACGTGTTACCCTCTACATCATTTTCGGGGTCATAATCATCCTAACAGTGTGTGGAAACCTTTTGGTCACTTTCTCAGTGGCTTATTTTAAGCAGCTCCATACTCCAACAAATTACCTGATATTCTCTCTGGCTGTGTCTGACCTGCTTTTAGGGATAATAGTCATGTTTCCTGGAATGATTCGATTTATAGAGACTTGTTGGTATTTTGGGGACTTCTTCTGTAAAGTCTCAATAAGTTCAGATATCACGTTGTGCTCAGCATCAATTCTGAATCTGTTATTCATTTCAGTCGACCGATACTACGCTGTTTGCCAACCTCTGCTTTACAGAAGTAAAATATCAGTGAATGTTGTGTTGATCCTGATCCTGCTCTGTTGGAGTTTTTCAGTTCTTGTAGGCTTTGGAATGATTTTTCTAAAGTTAAATATTTTGTGTGTTGAAGAGTTTTATTATAACCATGTTGCATGTGAAGGAGGATGTGTTGTGTTTATGAGTGGAGTGTCTAGTACTGTCTCCTCAGTGATTAACTTTTACTTGCCCGGAATAATAATGCTTTGTGTTTACCTTAAGATTTACCTTGTAGCACGTAGACAATTTTGCAGCATTCAGAATGCAGGATGTGTGAACTCAGTAAAAACATCAAACACAAGCCAGACAAAGGCCACTAAAACCCTGGCTATTGTAATGGGGGGTTTTCTGTGCTTTTGGTCTCCATTTTTTGTTTGTAACATCATCAATCCTTTTGTTAGTTACTCAATACCGCCAACATTTTTTGTCACACTTGTATGGTTGGGATTCTTAAATTCTGCTGTGAACCCTATAATATATGCATTCTTTTATAGTTGGTTCAGAAAGGCTTTTAAATTATTGACCTCAGGTAACATCTTTAAATCTGACATTTCAGAGACAACACTTTTCAATGACTGAACTGATGATTCGTTATGTTTTTGGGTAGTTAGTATTTATTTTACAAGCAAAATGATTCTGAATTGATGTTGTAAATGTGTCATTTGGCTCAAATAGATCTTTTACATCCCCAATCTTCTCTGAGATCAGTTTATTTAAAAAAATGTTTGATTTTTAGAATTTAACATCTTGACAATTACGTCATGAAGGGGGTCTGGTGGAAGTTGTGTGTGAATACAATAACCATGAGAGACGAGGGACAGTAATAAGCAGTAATTTTTCTTCCCCTCAGCACAAATCATTATAATCCTGATTAAACCACAGGCTCCATTGTTTTCGTGAGGTCACATGAGGTGATACTCTTTGTAAAGTCCTGTTAGTATGTGATGTGCCAAGATTTTCACATGTGTTTAGATTCTCTTTATGTGTGTGATGCCACCAGAATTCAAAATTGGGAAGGATTTTAAAACTCCTGCAGCCAGGCTTAAAATTAAATAATCTGGAAAAAGTTCACTTTTATATTGTTATGCATGTCATAGATGTGGGAAAACAAAGAGGTGGACCCAAGTGCAGAATAAACTAACAAAAACGATTTATTTTAACAAAAAGGCTAGAGGAAAATTGCAAAACAAAAACTTACAAGAACAAAATCCAAAAAAGGTAAAACAAGGAAACACTTGAAACTCTGACATTGACGGACAACTACTCAGAACTTACAACAATGATCTGACAACACAAGGGAAGGAACACAGAGGCAGGAATACAATACATGAAACACTGAGGACAACTACAAACTGAATCATGAAACACTAAAGACACACAGAACTCAAGATTGTAACTAAACACACTACAACACAGAGATACACGAGGATAAGAAATTACAAAATAAAACAGGAAACACTGAATCCAAAACTAGGAAACCATCAACACTAGAAAACATTAACACAAGGGAAACAAGCAACACTGGGATAAAACGGGAAACTCAAATATACAAAACTAAACCATGATAATGCAGATGATACTCAATTATTCTTTTTAAAGAAATCACATCAAATTATTTAGTTTCCAAAACTAAATGCATGTTTTAAATGTGTTCATGTTTTGTGGCCTTAACAGCTGAGAGACTTTTTGAATTATCCCTAAATGGCATCAATCTGCCTCTACCACCACTGTATAAACAAGGCTATGATCCTTCAACTTTCACAGAAAAATACATTATAATAATTGTTTTTTGACTTGCATAACTGCTAAAATCAGTCACATCCTGTCTGAAAAAGCAAAAGCATTTTTGATTTCTAAGCAGGGTTTTTGACTTTAAAATCTTTAACTCACTTACAAAGTGATTGATGGGCAGGCGCCATCATATCTTACAGATCTACGGTGCTCATAGTGCAGTCTTAGGGCACACTCATACTAAACAATCTGTGCCGTGCCCAAGCATGCTTCAACCCTAAAGTCCAGTTTGTTTGACTAGTGTGAGCGTTCTGATCTGTGCTTATAGTGTGTACAAGAGGTAAATGTGCTCAGGTCCGGTTAGCCCTGGCATTCATTGAGCATTCAATTAAAAGCCTACTTTCTGATGAACCATCTTCCAGTTTGGTCCTGGGAGGAAGACATCCTATACATTAGGAGTAGGCTGAAAACATTCCCTTTCGATAATGTTTATAGATAGGCTGGCACAGGCCTGACATGGACCTGCACTTAGCTTTGTTGCTATAAGTTAAGACTACCAGTGGGACATTTTTTCTAGGAAGGTGATATGGTTGGATCTTAACATAAAAAAATAATAACTGGGGAATATATTCTATCAAATTGGACAACGTTTGAGGACCAGATTTTATTAATGTCAGTCATGGTCTAACTGCCCTTTTCTCACCAAGGTCTGATTTTTCAAGAACGTAGTTTGAAAACACTTGTCAAATGTGCATTTATTTGGGTGCTGGTGGTGCAGTGGTTAGTGTGGCCCAGGTTCAAATCCAGCCTGTGGCTCATTTCCCGCATGTCATTACCCATTCTCTAGATCCACTGTCCTATCTATCCAGGCACAAAGAATTTTATTTATTCATTCATCCATATCCCATAAAAGCAGGTCAGGGCAGTTAGACAATTGTATATCTTTCCAGCAATGTTTTCAAGCTCCTACTGGAGTATTCCAAGATGTTCCCTCACCAGATGGGATAACTTCATCCTAGCTTGTTCTAGGACCAACCAGGGTTGTCCTATTGGTTCAATCTTCCTGGAAAACTTCCAAAGGAGGGCACTTGGGATAAATCAGATCATAACACCCTCTGCAGGCTCATTTTGTTATAAAGGAAACAAAGCTTTACTCTGAGTTGGGGTCGAATAGTAAACCCATGTCAGTACTGTCACTTGTATAACGTTCTGCCATGAAATAGATTTTTGCAACACTGTCATCATGTTTTAATTACACACATTTGGTTGTTGTGCACACATGGGGCAACATTGATGCCACCGATAGCTCAACCTGCCAACCACGGTGGTAGGTAGATAAAAGTAGCGTAAAAGAGAGATTTGTGATATACAATAGCTCAGATTGAATCCCGGAAATCTACATGTTTCCCTTTGACACTTGAATAGCAGAGCGAGGCAGATCTACACGCTCACTGACCAAGTGACACTGCCTCCTCCACATGACAGAGCGGGTGTCAATGTTCCCAATAAAAGTGAATTGCTGTACAGCAATAAAGTAAACGAGTTCTATTCACGAGATCCCTTTTCCATTTCCTCCATGGTTTTGTTCAATCTGACGGCACTGCCTGACCTATTGGGTCTGTATCTGAAAGGTAACCACAGTCATGAGCACTCGCAGGCTCACAAGATCACAGGACAACTACAAGGTTGCACGGTAATAAAGTAAACAACGTGCGAAAAACAGGTTACTTTGTCTTTCTATATCGATTTGCTTCGAATTTGGTGCCTGTTTTGTTGATACCGTGATAGGATAATGAACAGGAGTCTGTTGATTGTGTTTCATTTTGAAATTGACTGGATTCTCTATGCATCCAGTCAATTTCGATGTTGATGTTCTCTGTTCAGCCAGTAATATAACCTCCAGTAATCTTCCAATATGGTGGGAGCAATTGTAAATAGTCTGAAAGTGAACCAAATGGATTTTATGTTTCAACCAGTCTGAACATTTTGATTTAACACATACAAGGCCACACATGATTTGCATGTGCTCAGCGGATATATACAACTTATAGCAGTGTTTACCCACCCACCAATCATGCCTTGAATATATATACAGTATATTTTCTATTTTTCAAGATGTATGGCATATTTTTTTAATGTAATAATTTATATAACAATAAATGTTTACCTTGTTGAATCAGAATCAGAATAAGAATCAGCTTTGTTTGCCAGTTATGCTTAAACACACAAGGAATTTGACTTTGGTAAACTGTAAAATTCCTGACTACTTTTTAACAAATTTTCCCAAATTGAATAGTGTGTGACAGACTGTTTATTCATGATTTTCATTGTCCAAAGAACTTTCGATTGGATGGCCAAATATGTGACACAGGGTAGGCGGTGCTAAGACACTGTATTTTTTATTACAAGACCGAGATAGCCTCTCTACATACTTCCCCAGCGCATGCCTCTTTATCTCAGTTAATGTATTGGTATATGTTTTTAGTTCATGATGGTAGTTGGATTTTCTCAGGAGCAATTTTGTTTTCCTGAGTCTAATGCCTCTTGTGTCCTGACACAGTTCAGTGTGGGGACCAAATTCATCCTCTATTTATTGTTTTCTTTAGGCATGCTGATTACAATTTTAGGAAACACAGTTGTCATTGTGTCAATTAGCCATTTCAAGCAGCTGCATAATTCTACCAGTGTGCTTATTTTATCTCTTGCTCTGGTTGATCTACTAGTTGGTGTTATTGTGATGCCTTTCAGTGCCATTGGAACTGTTCATGGCTGCTGGTTTTATGGGGAAGTCTTCTGTCAGTTGCACTCCAGCTTTGATATGTTTCTTACTAGTGTCTCTATTTTCCATCTAATTTGCATTGCTATAGACAGACATGAAGCTATATGCGATCCTCTGCATTATTCCATGAAGATCACAATGCCAGTGGCCTGGATTATGGTATGTTGCAGCTGGGCACTGGCTGCTGTCTACTCTTTTGGACTACTTTACTCAAAGGCAAATGTTGCTGGGTTGGAGGATTACATAGAATCAATTAATTGCCTTGGCAGCTGTAACCTTCTCTTTAACCACCTTTGGGAAATCCTGGACAGTATTATTGTCTTTTTCTTTCCCTGTATTGTAATGGTTTGCCTGTACACTCAAATATTTATTGTAGCTAAAGAGCATTTACAAAAGATTGGAGATGTGAAACATTCTTCAAAGGACAGAGGAAGAATTTGGGTCATTAAACAATCTGAGCACAAGGCTGCAAAGACTTTGGGAATTGTGCTTCTTCTGTTGGATGCCATTTTTTTAAAATTCAGTAGGTGATGCATACAATGGCTTTAGCACACCAGTTGCTGTCTTTGAAACATTTGTTTGGTTGGGCTATTTTAATTCAACCTTGAACCCAATTATTTATGCCTTGTTTTATCCCTGTTTCAAAAAGTGTTTCTACCGTATCATCACACTGAAAATATTTAGCCCAAATTCTTCAACCATGAATGTATCTCTTAAATGACACAGCTTTAAGAAGTTTAAGAAATGCTTTTACCTCGTTGTAAACCTGAAAACATTCCTCAATCATAAATGTGTATCCTCTTACATAGTTATGTCCTCATGTATTATTTTTGCAAAAAAAGCAGGTTCATATATTACTATTTGCCTTGTCCCGTGCATTATTTTTACAGTCTACGGTCTCTACAGGCAGCCTGACCTCCGACCTCTTGCAGTCTGTGGGCTGCTGCTGGGGCCTCTGACAAATTCCTTGTTAAAGCCTACCATTTAGTGGGGGATTGTTGTAACTGCGGGCACTTTGTGCCACAGTCACATTATTAGTTTCATTTATAACCAGTCCATTTTATTTAAATGCTTTTCCTTTTTTTAAGCACAATTTAAACATTCTTTCCCCCTACAATCCCTTTTTATTATTTGTTTTCTTGTTGTTATTCTTTTCAGTAAGACAATATGTTTAATCAATTGGGCTTCAATAATTAGGCTTTAAATATAATATAATATCACAGCTGAGAGATGAGGAGACAGACAGAAAGTTCACAAAGACACTTAAAAAGAAACAATGAGGAGAAGCTTCTCTCAGCTTTTCAGAAAAAGGCAATAATCTCATTCAAAGAAAGTTACAACATGCCCAAAACAGAGCCACATGTTTTTTTTTTTTAATCTACCTCTGAACTGTCTTTAGTTGTTGTTGGGAAGAACATGCAAACTCCAAACTGAAAGGCCGATGTCCCACCAAGGGTTCAAACCAGGAGCCTTCTTCTTGCTGTGAGGCAACAGTGCATCCCCGGTTTTGATCATGTTGAATCATTTTACCGACATTCATCAAGGGTGATATTTGTAGTTCCTGAATTATCAGTCATCAGCAGGTAAGTCGATTATCATTCACCGTTTGTCATCTTTTCATTAGATCAGTTTAAAGATCACCACCCTCCAACAGTCATCTGTAAATGTGATGTGATTGATTGCCGTTTAATCACTGCGTCTCCTTTCGCCTGAACCTGAACTACACCAAACAGACATCCAGTCACAGTTGGAATATGTTGACTTAGCAGCATACATAAAATATTTTTCTCGGTTTATATCGCCATTTTAATGTCTTGTTTTTGGTATCTACATCTCCCGACCCAAATCTTGAGTCTGGCTGTCAGCCATTTTTGACTAATCATTAAGAGTCAGTCAGTGCGACTGGGCTCTGTGGGAGGACTACAGTACGACACAAGTCTGTGGACCATGTAATGAAGAAATGTACACAAGTCAAACACAAAGTGAAAAGTAGAGGTACAGAAACTTTATGTTACCTGTCAGTGGTGTCTTTATTGATGTAATCTGTTGGTTTGGACTGAGTGTTCAAATGTGGAAGATTTGTTAGTGGATAACATGAAGTCTGTTTATTCATTGATTTAATCAGTGCGTATTTCTTCCGCCTCTTTATTAATGCCTCCTCAGGGTTCTGTTGCAGGCGTTTAACACTAGAACGACCGTCATTCTATCACTACTAGAAAGGCCATAGCGGTCATTTTGACTGTTTACGAATTATTTGCATATCATTTAAATAATCAATATCAAATATAAGAATAAATGGATCTGTAATGTTGTGAAAGGTACAATAAACTTCAGGACACAAACATTAAATTCTAATGAATTTGAAATTTGAATAGTTTATCGACAACCACAGGAACAGCAGCCGGCGTTTTTTGCGAATAGGAATGATCTCTGTATCATTCTCAGGTTCAATCTCAGAGCCAGTGTCAGATGAAGTTTCTATATGGTTTTAGGCGGGTAAGCTTTCTTTCCTCCTTGGCTCGAGCGTTATAAACAATAGTTGCTAGGCAACAGCGATGCACACCTTCAAGTAGTGGTGGGCGATATAACGATCTTAGATCGTGAAGGATTTTAACTTGCTGACGATCTGCCAAAGCAGAGAGATCGTAGAACCGGGCTAATGTGTTTATTCTATCATGCTGCAGTTTATGCTCCGACACAGACGCGTCTCCCCCTCCTTTTTTGCTCCGCAGCGGTGAAAACGAGTCCGCAAAAACAACTCCATCTCGGTTATATGCAACTGTTCTGATAGTTTTCCAAATCGACACGCTGTGAGCAACAGTTAACTTATCTGCATAGTGTGCACAGTTAAGATTAGCTTACATCTCAGATAGCGACACAGAGAGACGTTAACAGTCAGAGACAGACAGGGCGGAGCTCAGACAGTCAGTGGAGATATAACCCTGATGTTTAAAATGTTGCTGTCGGTGTTTACTGCTCTCTCTCAGTTTTTAAAAGTTACTTATCGAGCCTCTCCACCCGAAGCTCACCTGTTGTGATAACTGAATTTATAGGGATTAAGTTCAACGATGTTACAAAGCAGCAGGCAGGTGAGAGTGAGTAACCATGGTGACTGTCTGTCTGTCAATCAACGATGTCCCGCCCCCTCTATGAATTAAACTCTTCTGTCAGTAAAACTTACTTTGATCATGTGTCACAGAATGAACACATTCTGTATTATGTTTGATTATATATAAACTAAACTAAAGTTAGTCCAATGATGTCATAAAAACAACAAAGACTGCAGAGCCTGTATGAAGCTACAGCTGTAGGAACTCTGCAGGGCTAAAATAGAACAGAAACACAAGAACTCGAAGTCTGCATGTTTTTAAATGAATGCATCACTGCGTGAAAATGTTCCTGATGAACATAAAAAGAGGACACATAACTAAATCCTAATTTCAAAGTGGTGAGGAAAACCTTCAAATTGTGCATAAATATTGATCAAATCGAGGGAAAGACATTTCTGTTGTTAAAGATGTTCTGGGTGAGAGACCTCCAGACCTCCTACAAAGATGTTTTTCAATAGATTAAACTTGTCAGCACAGTTTTGTGCATTTAAAAACATTATACAGGGAAATAAGTTTGGTTGAACTGGTCAGTAACTTACAAATGTGTCTAAAGAACAATATGAAAAAAATCGTGATCGTGATTTTGCCCAAAAAAAAAATCGTGATATGATATTTTTCCCGTATCGCCCATCTCTACCTTAAAGAGTGGGAAAAAGTAGCGAATACTGAAATGATACACTGGCTATAATGCATGCAGTCAATATGACCGCTATGGACTTTCAAGGTAGAAATACTCAAAACTCTTTTGTGTTTTGTGTTTTTGATAAAATAACAATGCTAGAATAAAATACAGACACATTTAGGAAAAGTCATGGTCCTGTAGTTACATAGGTTTTATTTTAAGTAAGTTATTACATTGAAAAATAAAACAAACAGTCAAAATGACTGCCTTGGTCTTTCTAGTGTTAAAGCTGCTCCATAAGCATTTTCACTTGCAATTCATGAGGGAGGGCAAAGTCTCTGGACCGCTGCTGCTGTAGCCAATATAGAGAACTACTGACTGGGATTGTACAAGTTTACTGCCACATAATTTACAGCTTTAATAAGCGTCAGTAGTAATGAGTAAGAAGTGCTGAGTAGACAAACGTGGCCCATTAGATGGTGAAGAAATATTGAACTAAAAGACTGCTGTTTCAAGCCGCGATATCTAACCCTGCCCTGTGAAGTTTCGCTTTTAATCTGAATT